TTTAACTCCCTAGGAGTTCTAGGAGCGGAAGTGTCTGGTCACTGCGGTGAGGAAAGTAAGGGTTATAAAGTTGACCTCACTGTCTCAAGGTCACCATCAGTTAGGTTTGAAACCAGGCCTCCTGGGTGCCTGGGCCAAACCAAATGACAAGCTGTATGTTTCTTCGATGCTCCCTCCCCATCCCACAAATTCCAGGTGCCATGGGTGCTATACAACCCCAGACCATTCTAACCGCCCTGCAAAGAGGCCCAGGTTAATGCTGCAGGGGCTGAACTGACTCTCGAAGAAGCCTCTGAAGGCATCAGTAGGCCTGAAGGCATCCGTAGGCCGTTCTTTGGTAGTAAGTGAGCAGCAGAAAGCAAACGGCTTTAGCAGATGATAAACCAGCCTCATAGCCCATTCTGTCTCAAAGTACCTGTGCAACCTCAGGGCATTTGCTCTGCGTCCCTGCACCTGGACAGAACTGGACAAGAGCAATCAGCTCAGAGCTGGCATCTGTGGATGTGCCAGCACAATCCCATGGATGAGGGACCTTCCCAAACTGTTTGGTGGGAAGGCCGTATCTCCTTCTACACTGGGGAGGAAAGGAGGGAAGGAAGGAAAAAGGGAGAAAGGGAGAAAGGGAAGGAGGGAAAGGGGAAGAGAAAAAAAGAAAAGCTCACTTCCTGAGTGAGCATGCAAAGTCTACAAATAATGCAAAACAATTTTGAGGAAAGTACATAATCCACACACATGTGTACACCTGGGTATAGCATCCCTCGGTATACTGTCTCTGTCTGTCTGTCTGTCTCTCTCCCTCTCTCTCATACACACACACACACACACACACACACACACACACACACACACACACACACACACACACACACACACAGAGGAATTGAATCCGGATGAAATGTTATCTCTCTCATTCCCAAACAGACATCTATCTATCCTCCAGGGCTGCTAGGCTGTAGAGAATCATGAGGATAGTGGGAGGGAGGAGACAAAGGGGGAGGGGGCAGGGGCTTCTTATTCCTTGATGGAGGATTTTTTGGTGATTACAGAGTCAGGAGGAGAGCGAGTGAGGTCTGCCATGCTTGCGCTGCTCTCTGCTCCCCTGTTTGGTATTCCATAGGCTCCAAATTGGGTGGGAGGTGGAGGGGGGGAGAGACGGCCACTGGTGACACTGCTTTCACTCACGTGGCTTTTTATGAGCACGGGGTCCCTTTCTGCACTGCACCTCTGGATTTAAAAGAGGAAATTTCAACCTCACAATCATGGTGGGAGTTTTTGGGGTTTTTTTTTTTTTGCTGAACAAAACTATGCCAAACTAAGCTCTGACTTCTGGTTTTGTGAGCCTGGGCCTCCACCGCTCTCTCAGATTTCCAGTCCCAAGCCCAAGGCACTGGCTCGGGCTGCTCCCTCTGATGCTACACAGAAGGGGGGGGGGGTGCTGAGAAGCCGTGGGCCCCTGCTCATGCGCACTTGGTGGATTCAGGGGTGCCCACAAATATGGAGAACTGCTTCCAATCTGCTTATCTGGGTGTGGCTGGCTCCTACCGCCCAGCCCGACGTCAGCACAGGCACCCGAGTGTTTTCTTGGGCATTATGGGGGAAAATAAGTCTAGTAACGAGAGGGGAAAAATGGAAGGAAAACAGGGAAAGGTCCACACCTGCCTTCCTTGGCTCCATGCAAAGTCATCATGTGAGGAGGGAAAGGCTCTGCTTGACTTCCCCACTCCACATTGAAACCTACACATCTTGAACCCATGTGGACTCTTAGAGCCGGTCCCCATCCTGGCCTGTGGTCCACCACTCCAGCTAACAACCAGGTTATTCTTGGGCCATACCTGCTTAGGCAAGATCCTGGAGGAGGCTATGTCCATGGTGACAAATGGGAATCAATTTATTCATTGCTTGCCGTGCCCACGCTACCCACCATCACCCTGGAGGTCCCCACAGGAAGGTCCTCCCTTCACCTTTTAAATATTCTGAGCTTAAAAGCACATTCTGTGGTTGTTTTTTTTTAACTTTGACACTGTAATTATATGCAGGACTTTGTACCTCCCATTTCCTTCCAACTGTAACATTTCTAGATCTTTTTAAAGCATACATTGAGGTCAGCTTTTTTTTTTTTTTTAGTACATGTTATGAAATAAGATATGAGCTTGTGCCCAGCCTTAGCTACTTTTTTCTGCCAAAAGGGCAGACCAACGCAAACTAAATACAACTATTTTCTTTATCCAAAGTTCAGTTGAAACGGTTATGGAACTTCTTAATATACACATAAACCTAGCTCAGAAACCCCACTCACTCCAGGCAGGTCAGCTGAAATCATAACGAGATATTAGCTAAGCAAACTCCCCCATAACTCAAAAGAACTGACTGATTCGAGGAACATCAAAAGGTAAAAGAGTTTTAATGGTCTTTCTTTCTTCTTCTCCTGGTTTTCTCTTATCTTGCATAAATTGTCTGTGTCTCCCGGTCACAGGCGTATGCTCTAGAGACAGACCCTGGGGATCAGTGCTACTGTTTCAGTAAATAAAATACTATATATTTGATGCATTAAAAACCAGCCTAACCAAGCTTCCTGATGTCCTGAGCATCTGGAAAACAGAGGTTAAAATCTCAAAGGAACTGAGTGTGAATTAAAGGAAATAATTCAGGTTTAGAGGATCGTCTGGCAAATAGAGTGTGTTTTGTAAATGTTTGCTTGTGAATCTTATCCATCTGTTAAAGGAATCTCCCTTCAGACCTAAGTGTTAAGAATGCCAAACCGCCTCTGGCCCATACAGAACAATTGGAAACCCACGGAATGCAATGGGTTCCTGACCCAGGAACGTGAAGAGGAGCATACAAAAAGAGAACCAGTGGTAGGTAGGTACATCTCATCTTACTCAACCTTCTCAAGTCATTACGAATGTTTGGGAAACAATACTGGCTGTGACTAGTTGGGTCCTTTCACCAAAATCCCTGCCAAGGTCAGGGTAACCAATCTGTGAATTCCACTTGCTTCCTAAATAATGGGGAGTCCTTCTGTCAGACCCCTAAAAGACACCCTAACAATCCTCTGTCCCAGACAGATGCCTCCAAATGCAATTAGACAGAACAGCTCTCAACTTTGAGTTCAGTCAGTACTTTTCTCAAATATCCTCCCACCCCCCCATTGAATTGCAACTAGTGCCTCTCTCAAAATTCCAGTTTTTCACTACTACGAAGTCTCCACTTTCAAAGAAAAGCACTATTTTTTTTTTTTAACCAGGGTAGGAGTACTGAAAAGGGAAAATGCTATGTGGGGATTTTTTTTCATAATGTTATTTGGGAATGGTTTGTAAAACGCTCAACTGTATATTTAAACTTTATAAATAGTTATGCTGCCAAATGGTATTTTTACATGTGGTGTGCTCTCTCTGTCTCTGTCTCTCTGTGTCTCTCTTTTTCTCCTCAACATATTCAAATATTACTCGGTCAGGGTAATTGCTGCTGCAATCTTAAGAGACAGATACAATAATTTGCTCACATTCTGCAATGAGAGAAATGAAAGGGAAAGATTCCTGTGTGCACACTCTGCAACTCCAAAGTGCTTTACAGAAATTTATTGTCCCAACAACTGTGATGCATTTTTTTTTCTTGGTTCTGTTGATTTCCTTTTCTTCAGAACCTGGTAATCATCGGAGACAAGCGGTCACCTGACTCACCTCAAACATTTATCATGACAACATTGACCTCATCTCTGGTCCTGACCGAGTTTTGGTAGTTTCAGCCCAGATGGCGAGGCTTCTGCTAAACAGAGATGGATTCTCTCTCCTCCCTCAGGGCAAGCTGACCTGCTGGCAAATAATCATCTATCACTTGGGGCCTGAATGTATTTCCACTGGAACTTGGTGATGTGATGTGCCGATTATAATTGAGGTTTGCCAGAAGTGATTGGCATATAAGACACTGGTGGGGGGAGGGAGGAGGAGTCACAGGGGGATTGCTCTGGTTAGGTCTACATTTCATCTTAGAAATTTGTATTCATATAACTTAATCACACACACAAGGCTATTTATTAGACAGCGTGAAGTACTGTGCCAAAATAACTTGAAACAAATTATTTCTTGGCATCTAGACTACTAGGCATCACTAGGGTTAACTAAGCTGCTGGCAGCTAAGTGTCACTGCTCATTAAGGATGGTATTGTTCTTGCTTTCATCTTTTTTGTTGTTGTTGTTTTGATATTTTTGGTGTCAGTACTGAGCCTTGAACTCAAGGCCTAGGTACTGCCCCTGAGCTTTTTCACTCAAGGCTGGTGCTCTAGCCACACACACAGCTCCACTTCTGGCTTTTAGTGATTTCACTGGAGTTAAGAGTCTCATGGACTAAGAGTCTGATGTCTGGGTTGTTTTCAAGCCTGGATCCTCAGATCTCAGCAGCCTGGGTAGCTAGGATTACAGGTGTGAGCCACCAGCTCCCAAATGGACTCATGTTTCTCAACCAGAAATAAAGGAGTGATCTGAGACTTTAGTCCACAACAGATGAAGAAGCCCAAGAAAGACATTCAAGATTACATCTTGACCTTACTTTTATTCTTTGTGCATTTGTCCTCGTCACAGTCTTTGTCCCTGGCCTTTATACCTCAGTGTATTTCATCTTTTCCCTGCCAAGCCAATGGCACAGCCCCTGGGAAAGCTGAGTGACAGTCCCCATTCTCCTCCCCCCCCCCCCCTCCAGCCCTGGGCCCAGCTACTATAAGCCATCATGTCACCAAAACCTCGTCCTACAAAGTCCATCTTGACTTGACTTTGCCATACTGATGAAAAGGTAAGAATTGCCAGTACGGTGGAATACAAATTGCCAACCACAAACCCCAGAAATCCAGCTAGATACAACACACATGAGCCTCATGCAGCTCAATGCAATTGTGTCATCAGAAAAAACAGTGCCTGCGACCTGGCAATGCGGGTCACAGGTAAGGAATCCAGCTTGTCTAGGGGCCATGGGGCTCACGGGTTCACATGGCATGACCCCACACTTACCAGGCACACACACATTATGCAGGGGTTGTCCGTGATGAAGGGGATTTGCAGTATCTCTCCTTCTTTCTCGCATTTTGCAACCGACCCTGAAATGGAAGGGAAAAAAAAATTTTTTTAACCTTTGCTTGGTAGCTTTATGGCAATGTCTTAAATCCTTACACAAGTCCTTTTTTAAAACACCTACCCAAATTTCAGAGTTAATAAATTTTAAATGACCAGAATCACCAAAAACCAAATCCCCTCGAAATCCATTTCAAATACTTTTATTCGAATGGACTGAGGGGTGGGGGGAGGGTTGTTTGTTTTTTAAGACCACTGTAACTTATGGACGGATTTTCTGTTCTCGGATTATTTAAGCAACGTTCCAAGTATTCCTTGTGGATCTTTAATAACTCTCCTCTGGTGAAAGCATTTATTTCACCTACACGCACGCGTACATACACGCACACACTCAAAATACGCAAGCGGACCAGGGGGGAAGATTTTTAAATGCGAATCCTGGACTCTGTGGCTGAGCAGGCCTTTTACCGGTATCTGCTATTTTGTGGCGGGTTGCAATGACTTTATGCAAGGCAAGCCTCTGGTCTCTTAGAAACATTTTCTTTTCTGCGCCAGGTGAGAGAGTAAAGCCTGCCCTTCCGAGCGGCAGCCGGGTCTCCGCCTGCCCGGCACGTGTCGTTCCTATGTCGTTCCTATCTCCTGCGGCCGCTGCCCTTTCAAAATGTGATGGTCTCCGCATTCAAGGTCTGCAAGGCCGGCACCGCACACAGCTCTGCTCTCCCGGCTGACACGCACATCTCCGCGTGTCCAGGAGAGGGACGAGTGCGGGGAAACGAAGAGAGTGTTTAGATTGTAAAGGGGGGACACAATTGAATCCGGGGTTGGGAAGGAGATTGGAAATCAGTCCAAGCGACGTCCCCACTCCATCAAAGAATGCCTCTGATCACCGCATTGAATCGGGGGAGCCCTTCCTCCCTCCCCCCATCTCCGCTTCCCGCACTTCCCACCCGGGTACCCGCTTCGCACCACCTCGGCGGCCGGCGGGTGGCAGACGCCCGCACCAGGTGCGCGCTCCCCGGCGCCCGTCTCTACCCAGGACCCCCGCCGCCCCTACCTGTCAAGAAGGAGGAGGCCAGAGACACGGGGACCCCCGAGCAATTGAGCAGCAGCAGGACGCAGCAGGTGATCCCGGGCGGGCGCCGGCGGGCTGGCCCCGCCGCAGCCCCGACGTCGCGGGAGCTCCGGAGCATCGTCCCCGGGGCCCGCGCTCCGCCGTCACAGTCGGGTTTGCTTGGGGCCGGCGGTCGGGAGCCGGCGCTGAGGAGGGGGCGGGCGCCGGGGGTGGGGGGCGCGGGGCGGGGCGGGCCGGGGAGGGGCGGCCCTGGAGGGGAGGGGTCCCGCGGCCGAGCTGCTCCACTGCGGCGGGCGCTTCCGAGAGAGCCTCCCGCCCGCGCGGGCTCCGGAGGGGCCAGCGGAGGGGAGTCGGAGCCGGGGACCCGCGGGGAGGAGCGCGCGCTGCCGGGGCGCACGGCCACCGCGCTCGGCCCGGCTGCCGCTCCCGCCGCGCCCTGGCCGCCCGCCGCAGCCCCGCGGGCCCTGCGGGCTCTAAGCCCGGCCGGCGCGCGCGCTCACCCGGCGGCGCCGCGGACAGGGCGCACTCGGGGCCGCACGGACCCCCGCTGGGGACGCGGGGCCGGGAAGGGCCGGCGATCCCTGAGCCCGGAGTGGGTCCCCCGGCCCCGCGCCCCGGGGTGCAGAGCCCAGCCGGGAAGCCGCGTCTCCCCGCCCGCGCGCCGCCTCCTCTTGCCCCGGGAGCCGCCCCCACCCGGGCCGCCGCCGGCGCTTGTTCTGGGCGCCCTCGCGTGCGAGAAACCGGGGCGCAGAGCGACCCCGCAACTCCTGAACCGCACGGCCTCCCCCGGAGAGGGTGGGCCGGGGGCTGGGGGGCTGGGGGCTGCGCTTATGGACCCGCGCGCCCTGACACCGGGGACGCTAGCCCCACGACCGCGCGGGAGGCGACCAGCACTGCGCATCGCCAACGCCTTTCGCCCTTAAAAGAGGGACCAGGGCTCGAGACTCCTCCCCCTCCCGGCGGCCGGCGGGCGGGGCGCCCTGACTAATCATTCATTCACCGGCCAAGGAGGGCGGGCCCCGGCCGTCCGCCCCGCCCCGGCTCCCGGGCCGGCCGGGCCGGGCCGCCTCCGCCGGCTGGGCGGCTGAGCGGGCGCCTCCCTTGCGGGCGCTGCGCGGGGTCTGGAGTGAGTTCGGGTCTTTGATCCCCTCGACTAAATCGCCATCTCCGGCCCATGTAGCAGCCTCCTGTACCCAGAAGGGCGCGATGCAGGAAAAAGACCCGGGCTAAACTGTGTAGGGGGAGGTGAGGAGGGCGGAGACCCGGGGCGCTGACAGCGCCGCCGTCTCCCAGTGGCAGATCGGCCCAGCCAACCCAGCCGGCCGGCGGAGCGCCCAAAACACACAAGCGCGCGCACACACACACAGAACACTCGCACAGAACACAACACACACAGCAGACACAGAACACACGCACACAACACACAGAGAACACTCACACAGAACACAGCAGACACACAGCAGACACAGAACACACGCACACAATACACACAGAGAACACTCACACAGAACACAGCAGACACACAGCAGACACAGAACACACACACACAACACACACAGAGAACACTCACACAGAACACAACACACACACAGCAGACACAGAACACACGCACACAACACACACACAGAACACACACAGAACACACGCACACAACACACACACAGAGAACACTCACACAGAACACAACACACACACAGCAGACACAGAACACACGCACACAACACACACACAGAGAACACTCACACAGAACACACGCACACAACACACACAGAACACTCACACAAAACACAACACACACACAGCAGACACAGAACACGCACACAACACACACACAGAACACTCACACAGAACACAGCAGACACAGAACACACGCACACAACACACACACAGAACACTCACACAGAACACAACACACACACAGCAGACACAGAACACACGCACACAACACACACACAGAGAACACTCACACAGAACACACGCACACAACACACACAGAGAACACTCACACAGAACACAACACACACAGCAGACACAGAACACATGCACACAACACACACACAGAGAACACTCACACAGAACACAACACACACACAGCAGACACAGAACACACACACACAACACACACACACAGAACACAGCAGATACACAGCAGACACAGAACACAACACACACACAGAGAACACTCACACAGAACACAACACACACAGAGAACACTCACACAGAACACAACACACACAGCAGACACAGAACACACGCACACAACACACACACAGAGAACACTCGCACAGAACACAACACACACAGCAGACACAGAACACACGCACACAACACACACACACAGAACACTCACACAGAACACAACACACACACAGCAGACACAGAACACACGCACACAACACACACAGAGAATACTCACACAGAACACAACACCGACTCACACAACACACATGACTCATACAACACACACGCATACAACACACACACAGAGAACACTCACACAGAACACAACACCGACTCACACAACACACGCACACAACACACACAGAGAACACTCACACAGAACACAACACCGACTCACACAACACACACAACTCATACAACACACACACACACAACACACACACAGAACACTCACACAGAACACAACACCGACTCACACAACACACGCACACAACACATGCACACAACACACACAGAGAACACTCACAGAGAACACTCACACAGAACACAACACCGACTCACACAACACACACATACACAACACCAACTCACACAACACACATGCACACAGCAGACACACAGAACACACACACAACACACGTACACAACACACACAACTGAGCACATACACACACAGTACACTCGCACAGAATACAACACAGACTCACACAACACACAGACACACAACACACACAGCACATACACAACACAAATGCGCACACACACAGAACACAACACCGACTCACACAACGCACACGCACACACAGTACACTCACACAGAACACAATACAGATGCACAACACACGTACAAAGCAGACACAGAACACACGCACACAACACACACGTACACAACATACAACACACGCACACAACTGAGCACATGCACAATACACTCACACCGAACACAACACAGACTCACACAACAGACATGCACACAACACACATACACAACACACGCACACAGCACACGCACATGCACACAGTACACTCACACAGACACACAACGCACATGCACACAGCAGACACACAGAACACACACACGCACACAACACACGCACATACACAAACAGTACACTCACACAGAACACAACACAGACTCACATAATACACACGCACACAACACACATACACAACACACAACTGAGCACATACAGTACACTCACACAGAACACAACACAGACTCACACAACACACGTACACAACACACACACAACATACTCACAACACACACGCACACATCTGAGCACATACACACATAGTACACTCACACAGAACACAACACAGACTCACACAATACACACGCACACAGCAGACACATACAGAACACACGCATACAACACACACACATACACAACACTCACACAACACACTCGCACAGAACACAACACAGACTCACATTCACACCACACCTGTACACCCAACACAGACACATAAACACGCAGACAACACATGCTCACAACACTCACTCACACAACACACACACTATACACACAACACACACAAAAGTCAATAGGGAGCCGGGCAGCGGTGGCTCCTGCCTGTAATCCTAGCTACTCAGGAGACTGAGATCTGAGGATCGCGGTTCAAAACCAGGCCGGGCAAGAAACTCTGTGAGACTCTTATCTCCAATAAGCCACTAGAAAACCGGAAGTAGTCCTGTGGCTCCAGCGGTAGAGTGCTAGCCTTGAGCTGAAGAGCACAAGGACAGCGCCCAAGCCCAGAGTTCAAGCCCCACGACTGACAAAAAAAAAAAAAAAAGTCAATAGGGGAAAACCCAGAAGCCTTCACTTGCACTAGATTTCAGTGGATTGGAATAGTGTCGATCTAAAACCACAGCCATCTCCACAGCTTGTGAGCGAGTTGCTCAGGTTGCTTTGCCAGGGGCCACACATCCTCAACGTTTGCATGACAAAGTTCTTAGGGACTGAGTCGAGGGGGGTGTGCACCTCTAACATGGTGAAGTGGTGTCTAGGGGCGGGCGTCGCTGAACTCTCCCTGTGGGCCCAAATCCAAAAGCCACCTGGCAAACAATTGGTGTGCCAGGACCTTTGCAAATGGGAAAGGTACACAGAAGGCTTTGGGGACTCCAGCTCTTCCTCTTGTTTGTTACAGTCTGCTGCCACCAGTGATTTCCCAGGCTGCCATCTGCAAATGGACCCAACTGGAAGAGCTACCTTCTCTTCCTAGGGTTCCCCAATGTCTGCTACAGAAACCATGGCTTAGACTGACAGCTGCCCACTGACTTCTACCTAAGCGGAGCTGAGTTCCCCAGCAGCAAAGGAGATACACATGGTTTTGCTTTCTTTTAGTATTGTGTGTTGAGGCGTGAACAGTTTCTGAAGCTCTCACTTAGCTCTTCCATTCACGTAATAGAGCTTCACCTCCACTTCTGGCTTTTTACTAGTTCGGAGATAAGAGTCTGGTAGGTTTTTTTTTTTTTTTCCCTGCCTGGGCTGGCTTAGAACTTAGCTCTTCACATGTCAGCATCCTGTGCAGCTAGGATTTATAAGGCCCCTGGTGGTTTTGCTTTCATTTGGGCACTAAATGGCAGAGCCATTCAGCTTCCCAAATGACCTTGACTTTTGACTGAAAACAAAAGAGGGCACAAAGTGCTCTGCTTTTGATCTCATTCCTTACAACCGGTAAGGAGGTGATGGAACCCAAAGAGCGATATTTAACTGAGGGCCCATCTCAGGCCATGACACCTCTAGTTCTCCACAACAAAATGTGTGCAATCTACTCAAACTAAAAGGCAGACGTGCCCACAATAAGAGAACATGTCTCAATTCCCAGAACAGGAATGCTGAATTCACACAGAAAAATTCACCTGGACTTCACAGTCCCAAAGTCACTTGCAGAGACAGGATGCAGGCCTCACACAGATGCTTCTGTCACAAA